GTGTAGGAGGCGTCAGTTCATATACAGCAAATATCGACCAGTTTTGTATAGCAGATGCTGGTCAATATGCTGGATATACAGCCCAGACCTCCCAGGAATACCACCCAATGTCAATCAGGACAACTAACAAAAGACAAAGACTGTCTGTATACAGAATACTGCCCAGTCTGTGTAGGAGGTGCCGGTCCATATATGGACCAAGTCTGTGTAGGAAATGCTGGTCCATATATGGACCAGGTCTGTGTAGGAGGTGCTGGGCCATATATTTCTTATATATAGCCCAGACCTCCAGGAATAGGGCCCAATGTCACCCTGACCCACTAACACAAAGACAAAGGCTGTCTGTTTACAGAATACAGCCCCATCTGTGTAGGAGGTACCAGTCCGTGTATAGTAACTATGGACCAGGGCTGCATAGGACATGCTGGTCCATATATTGTGCATAATATAGCCCAGACCTCCTAGGAATAGCACACAATGTCAACCCTGATAAGGGCAGACTGTATACAGAATACTGCCTGGCCTGTGTAGGTTGTGCCGGTCCATATATGGGATATACATACCAGATCTGTATAAGCGATGCCAGTTCATACACTGTATGTACAGCCCAGACCTCCCAGGAATAGCGACCCTTATGAATCCTGATTGTCACTGAAAATTGAGAGCAGGCCGTGCAAAAAATACAGCCCTGGTCTGTACAGAAGGAACCACATCATATATTCTAGAAATACAGCCCTGGCTTCCCAGAGACAGAGCCCCATGCGCATCCTGATTTCTACCTGAAACTCAAGGGCAGGAGTCTGCACACAGAATACAGCCTCACTCTGTGTAGGAGGCACCAAGCCATATACCATATATACAGCCCAGTCTGTCAAGGAGATGCTGGTCCATATACTATAAATACATCCCCAGCCTCCCCGGAATAGTGTCTAGCGTAAATCCTGATGCCTATCTTAAAGACAAAGGTCATCTGTATGCAGAATACAGCCCTGGGCTGTGTAGGCGGTGTCGGTCAATATACTGAATATACAGCCCAGGCTTCCCAGGAATAGTTCCGAGCGTTAATCCTGACTGCGAAGTCAAAGTCCAGGGCAGTCTGTATGTAGAATACAGCCTGGCAATCAGGTGTCAGTTATTAATGGTGAGCGTAAGTCACCATTGGAACAATTGACCAAGGAGATGCTGGTCCATATACTGTGAAGAAAGCCCCAGCCTGTATAGGAGGTGCCAGCTGATATGCTGAATATACAGCCCAGGCCTCTATGAGCCAAAGTCAGCGTGAATCTCAGCTGCTGTCCCATCCCAGTCCTTACCCATCAAAAGTCTCCAGGTCCCTACGCAGCGTAACAGCCCACCGGCCGGTCCATATGCAGTATAACGCCCAGCTCACCTGAATGGGTAGCCAAACTCCACTTCAATGTTCAGGTCGCTCTCGCTTTTATTCACACACTCAACGCTGAGGCGAAATTCCCCGCTGTAGGTCCCGCAGGTGGCGAACGCAAAGATAGCAAAGAGCTGTGGGGCGAGATGGGGTGAGATGGGGCGGGTGAGACCACAGGGGGCGCTGCGGGGCGTGGGGCAGGAGCGCCGGCTGTGGGGGGGAGCTCCCGGCTACTCTGGCCTCTCCCAGCGGGGGTCGCTGTGGAGAGCGGGGTAGGAGCACCAGCTGGTACCAGGATTAATAACCCCGCCTCGGGGAGGAGGAGGCGGGTGGAGCGGAGAGGAATTGTGGGTAATTATAGAGGGTTAGCTGGGTCCCGCCCCCTCTAATCCCCCCGAGTGCTGGGACGAGATAAGAACCTGTCTGACCCAATTGTCCATCTGTCTGCATCGGCCGCACTCCTCTGTCCCCCGCCCCCCCGCGCGCTGGAAGTGGAAAGGGGGGGGATACTGCGGATGGGCCCATGCGGACATTCTGGGGGGCGGATACCAGGCTGGCTGGGCCCGTGGGTCTGATCCAGAACCAGCAGGGTCCATGGGCCCTGGAATCGTTCCCCAACCAGCTGGATAAATGGGTCCATAATACGGCAGAAATGTCAAGCGAATGGGTCTGGAATCACTCCACAATCAGCAGGGTGGGGAGGGCCAGGAGCTGCTCGAGAACCAGCAGGGGGGGCCGGGAGCTACTCCAGAATTGGAGGACGTGGGGGAGTCGGGAGCTGATCCAGAACTGGAGGGGGGGTGGGGAGGGCCAGGAGCCGCTCCAGAACTGGAGGGGGTGGGGGAGTCGGGAGCTGCTCCATAACCGGGGGTGGGTGGGTCAGGAGCCGCTCCAGAACTGGTAGGGTAGGGTAGGGGGTCTGGAACCGCTCCAGAACCAGTAGGGTAGGATAGGAGTCTGGAACTGCTCCAGAACTGGCAGGATTAGGGGTCTGGAATCTCATTCTGTCTCTGAGTTTCTCCGTCTCTGGTCTCCCCAAATCTGATGGGGGAAACAGGATCTGATAACCAGTTCTTCCTGCACCACCTTCCTCCAATCCTACAGCCCCTCCCACACCGACTGGCTCTGCAGGGGGGGCAGGGAACGGGTGCGGGGCCTGTCCCCTCTAGGGGGCGCTGGCTTCAAGGCCTAGGCCAGCTCCGAGGCAGTACAGATGGGACCCCCCAACTTCAGGGTCCTGGGGAGCCAGTTTGGGGGACTCACCCATTCCAGCAGTTTCAGAAACCCCAGCGGTTCCTTGAGCATCCGGAATTGTCCCCCAGCCACGACCTGTCAATCAAGGTGGAGAGAGAGGGGGATGGGGCAGGGGGAGGGGTGATATTAAAATATCTGATATTCCATCTGTTCCTGACCCCCCTCCCAGAGCCAGGGAGAGAACCCAGGAGTCCTGGCTCCCAGCCCCCCCTTCTCTAACCACCAGCCCCCACTCCCCTCCCAGAGCCAGGGAGAGAACCCAGGAGTCCTGGCTCCCAGCCCCCCCTTCTCTAACCACCAGCCCCCACTCCCCTCCCAGAGCCAGAGAGAGAACCCAGGAGTCCTGGCTCCCAGCCCCCTCTGCTCTAACCACTAGACCCCACCACCCTCCCAGAGCCGGGGAGAGACCCCAACACAAGACGGTTATTGAAGATCACAACTTCCTACTAGGAGAAGGCCTGCAGGAGATACCTCCCCCAAACACATCCCCACAGCCCCCCAAACCCTTCCCTGCCCCCAAACTCACTGCCCCCCCTCAACAGGAACCCCCCCCTTCCCCTCCCGCTGTCGCTGGGGTCTACGTTAACCCCCAATTAATAAACAACCCCCTTGATCTCTGCATCCCCTCAACCCCCCCGCCTGACGCATCGCCCCCACCAGCCCCCCAACCCTGGTGGGAGAAGCTTCTGCCCCCACCCGTTCATAAACTGCCCCCCAATTACCCTGAACCCCCATTTCTGGCGTTACACTTCCCATTCTGACCCCCCCCAGCTTGCTGGTGGGGATAAATATTCCCGAGCCAGACTCGCCCCCTGGCAATCCGCCCCCCCCCCAATTACCTGCCCCCCCCATTGCTCCAGCCAGCAGGCGGCCGGGGAATGCACCATCCAGCCGCAGCAGCTGGTGTGAGAAGATTCTCGAGTCCCC